ACAAAGATAAAAGAGACAATGGGTTTTCCATAATAGAGAAACAAAAAATGATGGTTTGAATACTTCTGGGAATAAAATGAAATCGCTGAACAAGATTGTAAGGATATAAAGTCGACGACAGAGCAGTGGAGATGGTGTTAGATATGCTGTAAAAGCTTGGCTTTCAGATATGAATAATTCTATTTTGATCTGCCAACATGTTGTAGTCAAAGTATATATATATGTTTGCAGTTTATTTATTAATGCAATCATATTCCTTGTCTTACAATGAGATAGTGTGGTTCGTGGTGTCTCAAACAGAAAGGTCACCTATCAGTTCCTTGTAACACTAAATCACTTGTTCACAGTCTACACTGGCAGTGAGACCTCACTTGGAAAAAGACTGTAGTGTATTCTTGATTCAGTTGTCCTTAACTGGAGAATTACACTAGTACTTATGTTAAGTATGAACAGGACCACCGGAAAGATAAGATTATGAGACTCACTGATGGTTGTTGTAATCTATACCTTCAGTGATTGACGCGTTCTCTAAAACTGTAAGATAATATAAAATAGTCGTGTACATTCATTACTTGTTTATTTGATTTACCAAGGGTGATTCCTAATCTGTTAGGATGACATACTCGGTACTTTGGTAAATGAGAATGTTTATATGACGAGCTATTATAAATTATTTATGGTCACTGTGTTCCAGTGCGCTGGATTGATGACATCCCCGAAATGAGCTCAGGAAGGAATAATGTGTTAAACCCTGCAGGTGGATGTTTATCCGACACAATGATTAAAAATCTGAGTGGTACTAATTTTGGAAATGAATAAGAAGTCGATTAATTATCTTGTCAGTAATTTAATTAATCCACGGACGTTATATCTTAAATATGGGGAGGTAAATCGATCAATTAGATTAATATATATTAATCAAGTAGAGGTTTGATTTAATTGATTAAATTGGAGCCAAATGGGGAGAGCAATAATAATATTCTAGTGTGAAATATTATTATTTAATTTTATTAGGATTTTAGGAATTAATTTTATTCCATATTTATTATTCCAAGACTTAGGAAATATTCCTTCTAAAATATTACCTAGGATTAGGAGACTAGAGAGTCTTCTAGAATGTGATGTTAGTAGAAAGGAATCATGACCTAATATGGATTAATGTATGAAGTAGAAATAGGATTCCTTGGCCTAATGGAATAAACTCATATTTGGCACCTCCTTAAGGTCCCTAATGGAGCCTATAAATACACCATGTCCCAACCTCTCGAGAACACATTGCGAGGGCCGATTTTTTCATCTTCAAGAGAGGGAAAAATTGTCTTGTACGAGAGTTAGGGAGATTCAATTAATTGCACCACCAAGATTAATTGAAGTAGGTGTTTAGGTAATCCATTAGAAAATTTTAAGGTGATATTTATTAAACCTTAAAGATCAAAATATTCCGGCCATCTTCCCAAGCCGACCACCGCCGTCGACCTCGCCGGAAATCCGTCGCCGCCGCTGATCGCTGTCGAGAACCGCCCCGACCCCAGCCACACGCAACTGCGAGCACAGGCCCGCAACCGCACGCAACCGTGAGNGATTCCTCGCGCACCCAGGAGACTTGCCGCACACGCCCGCGTGAAATCCAGTTCCTGCATGCATCTGCCAGCTGCCCAAGTCCCTGTCCGCGTCAACCTAGGAGTGCAGTGCTGCACATGCCCGAGTAAACCGCGACACCCAGCACCAGCGACCTAGTCCCGCGCGTCACGCCACGACGCGCACCTGCAAGCACCCGCGACCCGCGCCAACCGGTCCCGACCAGCTACAGTTCGCGACCTGAACCACTTGACCCGACCCGACCCGAGACTGATCCGAACCTGCCCAACCGGCCCGAGCCCGAGAAGTTCATTCCGGTGATCTGTTCGTGATTCAACACTCGATTAGAGTCGACAAAGGTCAAACTCTTCAATCGATTGAGTTGTGGTATTCAGAAGATCTCCATCAAAGGAAATCAAAAACGTCTCTAAGTCGGCAAAAATTTTAAAAGGTAATGTCCTAATCCTAGCTATAGATTCCGTTGCGTTAGGATTTATTTCGATAAGTTCAATACCGTGCATGTCGTTGACGTTCCTCATAGAACCCAACAGATGGTCTAAAGTTCAAAGCCTCGAGCTTGTCGCGTTAGTTCAAACGGCCGGTAAAGCCCACTTTCACGGCGGCACTGGAGCAGCTCCGACGACAATGGAGGCCTCCACAGACGATGGAAATGACGGCGGCAGCGAAAAGGAGAAGCCTGTCTCGGCGGTGGGGTTCGGCGAGCTCTTCCAGTTCGTGAAAGGTTTAGATTACCTATTAATGGCAGTTGGCACGGCCGACGCGGTGGTCCACAGCAGCTCTCTACCCCTGTTCCTTAGGTTTTTTGTAAGAAGTTATGAAGGTATGATTTCTTTCTTGATTTTCTGGAAAAACATTAAGGATGTGTTTGATTTGATTTGATTTGCCAATATTGTTGTTTTTTGTAGTACGCAATGTACTTCCTGGTTGTAGGAGCTGTTATATGGGCATTTTTATAAATAGGTAGAATCATGGGATGGAAGAAAAGGAAATAACAATTGGATCATTATTTGGAATCTTCTGGTTTTTTTCTTTGATTTTGTTGGGGGTTTTTTCAAGCAGAGGATTTTGATTTGATTGGCTGCAGAGATATCGTGCTGGATGTGGACTGTAGAGTGACAATCGACACAAAAATGAGGGTTAAGTATGTAGAAGCTGCCTTAAACCAAGCCATTCAATACTTTGACACAGAAGTTCGGACATGCAATGTGGTTTTTGCCATCAACATTATACTATTATGGTCCAGGATGCAATTAGTGACAGGGTAAAGGATGTATAAAAGGAAAAAAAAAATAAGAAAGAGGGAAAAACCAAATTGGGATTTTCTTGATTGGAGTGTAGTTTTGAATGGAAATTGAGTTTTAGCTATTGTTTGATTCCTGATTGAGCCTCTTTTTCCTTTTCTCATTTTCTTGTTTTCTTTAGTTGGGAAATTTCTTGCACTACATGGCAACATGTTTTTCTAGATTTGTGGTGGGTTTTACTGCGGTTTGGCAATTGTACTTGGTAACTCTTGTTGTGGTTCCTCTGATAGTTGTGATTGGCGGTGTTCACATTGTCACGTTATCTAAGTCCTCAAGCAAAAGACAAGCAGCTCTTTCACAAGAAAGAAATGTTGCATGTAAGAAAGTGTTTAATTTCTCTTTTACAAAACAAAATGGTCTTTAGATTAAAATTTCTTTCATGGTGAATCTAAATTTGATATTGAATTACAGACAATATCCCAGATTACAACGGTTTTGGAATTCGTGGGAGAGTCGAGGGCACTGCATTCCTACTCTTCAGCCTTGAAAATTGCCCGAAAGATTGGATACAAAATTGGACTTGCCAAAGGTTTGGGGTTTAGGGCCATGTATTTTACGGTCTTTTGCTGTTACGCACTCTTGCTCTGTTACAGTGGGTACTTAGTCCGACATCATTAGACGAATGGTGGCCTTGTAATAGCTACAATATTTGCAGTCATGATCGGCGTGCTATATGGTCTTTATCGACCTTGGGATTAAGTTGATGAGTCATACGATGAAGCTCTGGGAGAGGGTTATCGAGCATCGCCTACGACGAGTGACGAGTGTGACCCAAAACTAATTTGGGTTTATGCCTGGAAGGTCGACCATGGAGGCGATTTTCCTAATATAACAGTTGGCAGAGAGATATAGGGACAAAAAGAAGGACTTGCACATGGTCTTTATCGACCTTGAGAAGGCTTATGATAGAGTACCGAGGAATGTCATGTGGTGGGCCTTAGAAAAGCACAAAGTCCCATATAAGTACATTACCCTCTTCAAGGATATGTACAAGGATGCGATGACGTGTATCCGAACATGTAGGGGCGATACCAGCGACTTCCCAATCAAAATAGGACTATACTAGGGGTCAACATTGAGCCATTATTTATTTGCCTTGGTGATGGATAAGGCCACAAGGGACATACAAGGTGATATCCCTTGGTGTATGCTCTTTGCTGATGATGTGGTGCTAGTTGACGAGAGTAGGGCAGGGGTAAATAGGAAGTTAGAGCTGTGGAAGGACACGTTAGAGTCGAAAGGCTTCAGACTTAGTAGGACGAAGACCGAGTACATAACTTGTGCTTTCAGCATGGCTACACATGATGATGGTGACGTTAGCCTTGACGGGCAAGTGGTGGCCAAGGAGACTTTCCGGTATTTAGGATCGATGCTACAAAAGGATGGAGGCATTGATGCTGATGTTAGGCATAGAATTGCAGCCAGTTGGTTGAAATGGCGTCAAGCTTCAGGCGTTCTCTGTGATAAGAGGGTGCCACAAAGGCTAAAAGGTAAGTTCTATAGGACGGCGATTCGCTCGGCGATGCTATACGGTGCTGAATGTTGGCCTACAGAAAGGCAACATGTCAAACAACTAAGTGTAGCAAAGATGCGTATGTTGCGTTGGTTCTGCGGGCACACAAGAAGGGATAGAATCCGTAATGAGGATATTCGAGACAGGGTCTGAGTGGCTCCAATTGAGGAGAAATTGGTTCAACATCGACTTAGATGGTTCGGACATGTCCAACGGAGGCCTCCTGATGCACTGGTGCGTAGGGGAGTTCTACAGCGGGTCGATGATGTAAAGAGAGGTAGAGGTCGGCCTAAAATCTTTTGGGAAGAGTCGGTTAAGAGAGTCATTAAAGATTGGAATATCTCCAAGGATTTAGGGGTGGATAGGAGCGCTTAGAGGCTAGCAATCAACGTGCCAGAACCGTGACTTTTGCTCCTTTCTCTTTTGCTCCAATCTCTTTCTTTTGTTTTGAGCCCTTTTTGTGTTTCTCTTACCATTGGTTCTCTTGGGTTTCATCTCTAGCCTACCCCAACTTGCTTGGGACTAAAAGCTATGTTGTTGTTATATCGGCGTGCTATATGATTGTGAATAAATTATTCCCCTTAGTTGATATCATCTTAGATTTTAAACAACGTTAATCTTGTTTTTAATGGTTTGTATGGATGGATAGTTCACTGGGGCAATCTAATCCGAGTATGGCCGCGTTCAAAAAGGCACAAGTGGCAACTACTAAAATTTACCGAGTTATCTATCACAAGTCGAGTGTCGAGAGAAACAACGAGTAGGGTTTGGAGTTGGAGTCCGTAAACGGGCAGCTGGAGCCTAAAAATGTGGACTTTTGCTACTCATAGAGGCTCGAGACTCAAATACTGAACGATTTTTCTCTCACTGTCCCAGCTGGTAAGCCGATAGCCCTTGTCGGCAGTAGCGGCTTGGGGAAAAGCACGATGGTGTCCATCATCGAGAGATTTTATGATACCACTTCAGGTCATTGGTCCTTACATTTGTACTAGTTTTACCCCGTGCATTTGCATGAAAACTATATAATAAAAGAGAAAGTAACTAAAAATACATATTGAAATAAAAATCATAATTTAATAAATGAGAAAAAAAATAATTTAAAAAAGTGAATCTAATATTATCAAACACATCTTTGTATAACATTTGTGGTTTTCCTGTCGTTAGAATTCCCATCATAACAAATCATTATTGTTAAACCCCTTCGACTCGTGACTCTGAGATTTGATTTTCAAAATATTTGATGTATCTTTATAATATTCAAAAAAAAAATAAATTATTATTGTATGACTGCAATAGAAAATAGAGATATTTGTAGTCATTCTTAATTAGTTATGAAATATGTATATATATAATACCAAAAAATTGTGTAACTGAAAGTTACATATTTTTATTAAATGCTGAACATATTTTTATTAAATGAACATCTCTTTTTATTAAATGAACCCATATTATTATTAATTGTTGGTTAAATAAAATTTAGTGAAACTTGCCAGTAATTATATATATATAGATTTCATGTTCGATATTTTCTTGATTATGAAATCCAATTTCATGTTAGTAATTCATCCATTTTGAGTTTTTGTGATAGGTAAAAGGAAAAACTATTAACTACAAAAGGTTTAGCCTAACTACAAAAGGAGCTGAAATCTAAATGATACAAAACCCCTTTTCATAAATAGTTTTGTTAATAACTTGACAGGACAACTACTGCTAGATGGTCATGACATAAAGACATTAAAGTTGAGGTGGATGAGGCAACAAATTGGACTAGTTACCAAGAGCCCACATTATTCGCCACCACCATAAAAGAGAACATACTCTTGGGAAGGCCCGACTCGAGTTTGGTTGAAATTGAAGAGGCCGCTCGAGTACGTAATGCGCATTCATTCATTGTCAACCTTTCAGATGGCTATGACACTCAGGTTAGCTAGCTGGCTTATATTAATGGTTACACATTTTTGCATAACATTGAGCAATTAACTGATACATTATTAACTCAAGCTTTTGTTATGAAGTCATTCAGTCACAACTCACAGGCTACACAGACAGCAAGAGGATTATATTAACCTTTTACACTTTTAACAATTAGGACAAGTTAACATACTTACTGGTCAAATGTTCATTAATTTTATTAGCCCAAGTTCTGAGATCTTGTGATCTGGTTTCTTATTGTGCTGAAGGAGTAAGACTTTTGGAAGAGACCTCATTATTTTGTTCTATTATTTCCTGAAGGGATGATTTTTGCTCTTAACCACCTTTTATACATACAAGGAAAAATGTAAGGCATCATAGGCCGACACGTGGCATGTGTAAAATGACCCAAATAGCCCTGCATTGCCCCTATTTTTTTCACTTGATTCTTCCTTTTGCTAGAAATCCCGCAGATCACACATCAAGACAACTATTTTCTTATTTTCGTAGAATTCTCGCACATGAGATAGAGACGTGAGCAGGTAAACACCTCCACCTCTTGACAAACCCTACCAAACATTTACTCTCATTTTCAGCTCTCAATAGGGAATAAGAACTCATATATTAACAGGATCTAAGATGGACGCACAAAGACCAAGGCGTCGAGGAAATCTTCACCGACGACCGGAGGTGTGAAGAAGCCCCCCACCGCTTTCATATCGGGATAGTGGCGCTCCGGGAAATCCGCAAGTGCAAGAAAAGCACCAAATGATAAATCTGAATGAGATAAATATGGAATGGATTTCTTCTCAAATCCTTTTTCATCAAACCATCACTGCTACTCATCTTTGTTTTCGCTGATATTTTTGTCCATCTTTTTCTCAATTTAGCTCCTCCAGATATTTTCTACAGATTGGAGAATCATCGGAAAATGGCAGCCTTGAACGAACATACCTGTTAGACTCTCTTTCTAAGCAAACCATAGCTTCATGTATCGTAGCTTCTCGCCGCCGTGTCGGATTATGATCAAATTCGCCCCACTCTCTTTTCCAGCGATGGAATTGGGCCTCATATCAGCGAATCCGTCAAACAGGTAAGAAGAATTTGGCCCGTCGATCAATAATTTATCTTTAAAAATTATATGAATGCCCTTTCCTTTGTAGTGTGACCATATGACCAATTGAGCTATTGTTTGCAAAATTAATTGTCACTAATATATTTTTCCAAATGTGGGTAGGTTCATAATGATATGTTGTATTTCCAAAAATAATGTATATATTATCGTAAATAAAATTATGACATTTCACACATTAATTATGTTTGCCCTCATGTGGAGCCGAGGCGGCCTTGAAGCGCTATCGAGAAGCGAGCAATGTCGTGGTGGTCGAGGAGTACCTGCCGTTTGTGATGTCGTGGGCGAATAAGATCAAGGAAGATGACCACTACCGTTCAGTCGAAGAGAAAGACGACTACTGCCACCGGCGACCGCACCACAAATAGTAGTCAAGTAATGCGAAGGGGATAGTAGAATTTAGCTTACTTGCATCTCACAATTTATTATTCACGTTCTCCCAAAATTCACGCAGGACGACTTAACTATCACGCTTTTACAACAACGCCGCCAATCCCAGTACACTGTTCGGACAACATCGAGACTGCTGGGTTTGAGGCACTGAATGTGCCGGATTACTTTATGATCATACCAAACTTTATGATCCAAGGAGGTGCCTTCACGGGGAGATGGCCGTGGTGGGGAATCAGTTTATGGTGACAAAAGAACTTCAAGTTGAAGCACACTGGTCCTGTGGAGTGATATATGCTTCATATTAACAAAATATATGACTATATTATATGTTACCTCATATTTTTCATATCTTGTCCGTGTAGGAGTTCTCTTGATGACAAACCCGACCTCCATTTATTTTTCAGGTTAATTTCATCCATCATTCAGGTTGTTTTCTTTTACTCACTTTTCGTTGTGTTTTTGTTTTTGGATTTGAAAATTTTCGCGTGGGATTTTGTTTGGGCATCCTCTCTATACCTTTGCGTTTTCTTTTCTTGGAATTTGGTTTTATTTTATTTTCAGAAATGATATATTCATTATCTGTGTCCTTTCTTATCCATATGTTGAAAGATGTAATTTATTTATTGTTGCTCCCTAAGTTTCGCAGGGAAATTGATTGCTCGCCAGCGGTGAAGGAATTCAAGTGCCCTCTTTCAAGGAGCTCATGAGGGATCCTTTCCACTAGAAAGCTAAAAGTTAATTTTACAAGAAGATAGACAAAAATCAAATGTAAGTGTTCTTCAAATCACAAATCATAAAATAAAATCAAATGTAATTATTCTCCTTCATACCGCAAAGCATCAAATAAGCTACAGAGTTCTCCGCTTCCCTCACACGCTTTNCACAAAGAGAACACTCTTAGCTATTTCAACTTCAACTGAGCAATTATACTTCTTCGCATGATCTGGGCCAACCACACTCTGGATTCTGCAAAATCCAACTTTTGCAAAATCTAATAGATTATGAGACAATGGAAAGGCAAAAGAAATAAAAACAGATTGGAAAAATTTTGCTTTCCCCTTTCACTATGCAGTTTTTGATTGAATTTTCCTGGTTAGAGGCAACAAGGACTTTCCTTGTTTCATGGGGTCTTGGCTACAACTACTTCTAGTTTTATACAATGAATTTAGTTGGATAACATACATCGTTGACTTGCAATGGACTAATCTTCACAAATAATAAAATGATCATCTTCACCTAGTACTCTAAATCCATTCTTGTTGTGGAACCTATTAAGCAAATCAAGAAGCCAAAAACTACATAAACATTTTTAACATGCCCCAACTAAACTCGATTAAGAAAAACACCAATAAGATAAATGTTATGCAACATGTTTGTATGCATGAGTAATTGCACTATGAAAATCTCATTAAAGGAAAAAGGCTTACTTGTAAATTGGTTTACCCCATTTCTTCTTTCCACACAGCTCGTGTAGCTTTTGTTTTGCTCCAGCTTCATTGCCGCCATTGAGAGGGGTAGATGTGTCCTCGTAACACAATTCCTTAAGAGCTACCTTAGCTGCAAGTAACTTTGCATTCTCTTTTTCATGAGAGGAGTAAGCTGAGGCCACAAAAGTGCCATCGACGTAGACACCTGCTATGTTTTGTTCTCTTTCCCACCAATGTTTTATATCAACTCGCCTTTTGTCCTTCTGGCATAACTTGAACAACATAGTAACAGGTTGTGGTTGTTGTTCTAGCACATGAAGCATTACCAGAGGCTCTAGAAGTTTTCCAACTATCTACATAAATTACAAGAGTTCTATAGAAATGATTGGGTGATCTCATAAGAATTGAAAAAAAAAATCACCGCAAAACTAATTAATGATGCATGATAATGTGTTAATTGAAACTGATTAAAGATGCATGTTTTGTCGTGTTAGTTAGAACAAGTAAGCACCGCAAAACAATATATATTGCACAACAAATGGACCATCAATTATTTCTTCCGATTCAACTAAAAGTTGGGTTACATTTCAAAAACTTCAGTTTTTTCCTAGATTAACATTTTATGAAACATGTAATACTAAATAAATCACTACTCAAATTAAATTTAGGATAATGCTTGAGGTACATACACTCTTACATAACCATGTACATAATGGTAGTGGCCATATTTTAAAATAAATTTTTTCTCTAAGAAAACAAAAATGTTCCACAATGAAATAAGGCATCTTCTCTCTCTCTCCACTTCAATTCCGACTCTCAAAACACCTCTACCCAAAAAAAGTTTCACAAAAATCTCTCTCTCAAAGATTAAGCAACTCTTTCTCCTCAATGATAAGTGAGAAGAATATCATCGATGAGAATCAAACTCTTGGTAAGTTTTTCGACATTTTTGTTTTATTAGTTTTTGACATTTTCTTCGGAGAGGATGCGGCCATGGAGGGCGTGTGCTAGGATTAGCAAATCTCCGACCTTTATTCTATCATCTGTAGTCGATTTTGAAAGGTTCGTTGAAAAGTGCTTCGCCGCTCACGAGGTACCTAGAGCTGTAGAAATCCAGAACGGATTCGGATTTCGGGTCGGGTAGTATGACTATTTGGATCGGCCCGAAATACTGGGTAGAGCTGCTGATGCTGTTTTTGTCCATACACCAGCCATGTCTGACTGTTGTTGAGCTTGATTGTGTATTTTGCGAGGTCGGCGTTAAGGATTAGAGCTCGAATCGTGTGGTTTGTCGCAATCGAGAACGGTACCTTGCGCCTGATCTTGACATTCTAGTTCAATTAATATTTTTTTTCTTTATTAATTTTCTCACAATCAAACCTTTTCTTTTTTTTTTGTTTATTAATTTTTGATATTTCTCAACAGACATGGATGTCGATGATCAAGTTAACAGGGATGGTGACATATCAAATGGTGATACATGAATTCAAAATTTTCTTGTCTTAAAATTTCATTTTGATTAAAAAAGACTTTGATTCTATAATACGAATGATATAATCTAAATATTTGCAGGAACTACAGTTAAATCTTCCGAGTTTACAGGTGATCATAATGTGACGGAGGAAATGCTAACAACTAAAAATGAAAATCAGGAAATTCCAGTATTAGGCATGAAATTTGCTAACAAAAATGAGGTGTTTCAGTACTACAAGAGATATGCCTAACGAACAGGTTTTTCTATTAGAAAAAGAAATTCAACAAAAGGTGATGATGGAATTGTACGGTATGTGACGTATACTTGTAGTCGAGAAGGTCGACGAAGCTATAAGACCAATACATCTCTGGATCCGCTACCGACTAGTCAAACGAGTTGTAAAGCAAGGTTGACCGCTTGTTCTGATGCTTGTGGAGTATGGCGTATAAATGTTGTTCATTTAGAGCATAACCATAAGACAAGCCCATCCAAATCTAGGTTGTACAAATGCAATCGACAAGTAAGCAACCGGATCAAAAGACAACTTGAAGTAAATGATATAGCAGGAATACCTATTCATAAAAGCTATAATGCAGCCGTAGTGGAGGCCGGTGGATTCGAGAATATGACATGTGTTGAGAAAGAGTGTCAAAATTTTATTGATAAAGTTCGGCGTTTGAGACTTGGCGAAGGAGATGCAGCGGCAATATCATCTTACTTCTAAAAAATGCAAGCATGTTGTCTTGGATTTTATTTTTCTGTAGATTTAGATGAAAAGTGTCGCTTGAAAAATGTATTTTAGGCAGATAATCGGTGTCGAGAAGCGTATAAGGAATTTGATGATGTTATCATCTTTGACACCACGTACCTCACGAATAAGTACGATATGCCTTTCACTCCTTTTGTAGGGGTTAATCACCATGGGCAATCAACTTTATTCGGATGTGCTTTAGTGTCGAATGAAGATACAAATACGTTTGTTTGGGTGTTTCGGACATGGCTTGAGTGTATGCATGGCCTTGTTGGCATTATTACCGATCAAGATCAAGCTATGCAAAATGCTATCCAAATTGTTTTTCCTGGAACAAGGCATAGATGGTGTTTGTGGCATATTTTGAAAAAGTTGCCTGAGAAGCTCGGCTATCATAGAAAAAAGAGAACCGCACTTTATGCTATAACTCGGTTAGTTTATGATACATTAGATTGCAATGAATTTGAGGCAGGGTGGTCGGATATGGTTCAACAATTTGAATTGCAAGATCATGGTTGGTTGACAGGTCTTTATAATGAAAGAAGTCATTGGGTACCATGTTATTTGAAAGACACATTTTGGGCAGGCATGTCAACTACCCAACGAAGTGAAAGCATGAATGCTTTCTTTGATGGATACGTGCATTCAAAAACATGTCTTAAACTTTTCGTAGAGCAATACGAGCGTGCATTGAGAAGTAAAGTTGAGAAAGAATTTCAAGCTGATTTTAAATCATTTTCGCAAATGATTCCTTGCGCTACAAAGTCTGATACAGAAAGGCAATTCCAAGAGGTATATACACTTGCAAAATTTAAGGAGTTCTAACAAGAATTTACTGGGAAGGTTTATTGTGATATTTTATCTGCGGTAGATTTTTGTGGGACCATACACCCGTGTATTACACGGGTGTTGAATTAGAAAACTTTTGTAAAACATATTAAATTTTTATTTTTTTAAAAGAACTAAAATAATTTAATTTTATATAAAACATTACTTTGGGTTTTAATTAAATTGTTACATTACATTTTTTTAATCATAATAACTAAACACCCGTACATTAAATGAAAATTGTTATAATATATGTGCATGAGGTGCACAAGGTGCATAAAATAATATATGTGAATGACTATTTTGTCCCTGATGTAATTGTATTATTACGATTGTGACATCAGAAGTTTTCCTATAAATAGGAGCTTCAATTATAATGAAAATGGAACTAAGAGAAACATTTTCTCTATTCTCTTTTTCTCTCTAGTTTTATAACACGTTATCAGCACGAATCTCTGCCCTCTAGAGCTCGATTTGTAATATGAAGATAGTATGCTCTACAGTTGCGTCTTATAGACGATCTTCTGTATCATAAATCAAAATATTAAAAATCGTTATTTTTTCAAATAATTCTGATGAGTTATATCAAAATATGTACTTTGAATTTAGCCAAACCAAAAACTCATTTCAAATCAAGTATCATCCAACAAAACCCAGCCATAGCTCTCTCCCTCTGATGCTCCGCCAAGACCTTCGTTGACCTCCTACTCCTCAACGTCGTTTCCTTGTTTCCTTCTTCAATGGCGGCCTCGGGGTGGTTCCGGTGCAAGAACACCCGTTCGAAGATGCTACGCAGAAGATTCAGGTAGACAGTGCAGGCTTGGGGAGAAATCCGTAGCTGGGATAGCCGTCGAAAGGATGAGGAATCGGGTAGTGGCCGTAGCCAATATGATTACGAATAAGTACAGCGACATGGAGGCCTATGATTTGAACAAGTGGGATCGGTTTTTCCTCACACAAACTCAGCGGACAACTGATAATATGGAAAAGGTGAGGTTTTAATATGTTAATTTAATTGACATGAGATTTGAATGATAAAAATAATAATAAAAGGATTGTCGGCAAGAAGGTGAAAATTTAATAATTTATGTGATAGGCAAGTAGAGGAATAATAATATTAATAATAATAGTTATATTGGTGGATAGCATTTGTTGACAAATTGATAAGGATGAGAATGTTCATATGTCCACGCGCACAGATAACTGAATTGAATGATAGAACAAAAACAAGCACATAATGATACTATTATAAACTCCATTTCTTATATCCGTATATATGAGAAACAAACATGGTTAAAATTCATTATTTTTAGTTCCATGTTAACAAGTTCAACAAGAGCTACATTTTAAGACCAATATTGATATATTAAATTATATATATTGGTATTATGAAATGTATGAAATATCTCATAATTCAATTGTTATACTTCTGAAGAGTTATAACATATGTAGTGCCTGAAGCATATAGTGTTCACATAAAATTAATTTATTACATTTTGATGCTCAACTTATATATTGGATAATTAGCATGAGTAGTTGGATCATATTGGATAATTATTTATCATAATTTCCCCAAAATGATGCGTGGAAAATTGAACATTTCCCATCTGCGATACTATTATGCACAATCTTATATCACCACCAATTCGTACCTTTATGGGCCAATATTATAAACTAGGTATGCTATGATACTCCGTCAGATTTTTAATACCTAGAGGCCATTATAGGGGGTCAATTTATTATTTGGTACGTATTGTGCGACAATATTTAACGGCATTAGGGGGAGATATGAGCATAAATTTATTAATGCCGTAATATATTTGAAATATTAATGTTTTCATTATCTGAAACCACGCAATAAAATTGAACTTGAAGTTCATATTATATTTCTGCCGAACAAAATTTATAGTAATAATGGAGTGAGCAATTTGTATATATCTAAATGTACCACAAAGTAAGTAAAATCCATAGAGAATGATTGATTCCTTAATGCTAGAAGCATAAGGTAATATAATATATAATATATGAAAGTCCGCGGAAAATATATATTCAAGATTTAACACTCCTTTATAAAGAAATTTCTGCAGAGTTGATCCAGTACACCTTGCACGTGCATCAAATCATTATAGTACTGGAAATGCGGAATAGCCAAAATTAAATGTTACGGGAAATGATTATAAATATGGCTACTAAATATGAAGTTGCGCATATGGTTGAGAGAATGTAAATTGAATATCATAGTTGTCGACAACATAATTGGCTATGTAATTTCTTTACTATCTCAAATAATGATCCAGATCAAAATAATGAAAGTGTTGGAAGCGCTTAGATTGATTGAGATAGAAAGAAAATAAAGGCAGAACTTCCACTCGCTACATGATATATCCCAGAAGGATAGTATATCCCAGAAGGATAACGAATAATTATATGTGATATGGTGGTGTGATGTAAATATTGCGAGATTATGGGTTTACGCAGAGACCCAAAATTTTATAAAAATCTCTCTCATTATCAATTATTCCGCTAGTTAATATTTATGGCAGCAACATTACCATGACTATTGAGCCATATGTGAAAGTCCTGGATAGACTTGAGTACCCGAGATGAAAGATAATTAAATCATTTAATTATATAAAGTTGTTGGTAAGATGTGGTGCAACCAACAAAATTCTTCCTGAACAAGTAAAGGTAGAACTTTGTGTATAATGATAATATACAAAATTATCATCTCGGTTAAATAGATTATGTGGTGAACACTATGTAAAAGATTAAATAAGTTAAATCATGCTTATAGACGGAGTTATAATAAAACTCTTGGTTAAATATCAAAGAGTATTATCTCTACTTGAAGATCGAGCATCTCCTAGAAGAGTATTTGTACAGATCCAAAGAAACTAAAAGTATTATTATTACTGAAAAACAAGTACATAAGGATCATATGATGGAAATACAGATAAGAGGTTGTGAATCCTCAATAAATATGCGAAAAATATTACATAATAGAACCCATTAAATTAGGGTGCGTCTCGAGAGTATAAACTCCGTAACTCTACCACCCATGATTATTATTTGGGTTCATAATGAAAGATCTAAAGGATCAAAAGCTCTTTTTCGCTTGACCCCTTGTGTTTCCACAGAATCTTGAAATGTGATGCATTCTTGAAGCTTGTTGATAAGCTCAGCAGACGTGTCTGCAGATTTGAATACTTCTCTCGTTAAAGGAGATATAAAGGTTTGATATACTCCTTCGTCTAAAAATCCAAGAAAACCATGAAAATAGTTATTAAAATTCAATAGACCTATGGACTTGTTATGAAGTTTCAATTCTGCCCAAGAAGCAATGGTAAACATTGTCATTAAAGTTCCATAACCACCTGGAAGAATGATAAAAGCATCGCTATTGTTCACCATATCCATCATACAGTCATAAATAGAATGAGTTAGCATCAAACTTGTGGAATCTTTGACGACCCTTGTTGAAGCTCTATGAAAAGGTATGATGCTTTTCACTTCTATATCAAAACATTTTCCATCCATTAAAAGGTTTATCAAAGAAAGTGATGCTAGTTCCTCCATACAGTAAATTGATTTTTCGATTCCCCATCTCCCTTACTAGTGACTTACAATATCAATATTTTGAGAAAAACTTACCAGTTTAGAACCACCAAGAACACACATGGTTTTGATCGGATGAAGAAATTTATTACCTTGAGAAGACTCTGAAACATCCATCTATTGATAAACTAAATTTTGTGAGTTATATGATTATGATGAATGACTCGCTATTTAAAAGGGATGTTTCACAAAACGATAACCGACAGATAAGGCGTTAAGTCTTCAAAGAATCTTATCTGTCGGCAGCTATAAGATTTTCTGAAAATTACAGTACAACATACTAAACTGTATTTTTCATACTAGCAAGAACAATTTTTACAAACTTGATCTTTTGAAACAATATTTTCGACACTATAACGTTCTTTTTCATCTTTGAAACGTATCAATAGAGACATAAGCTCACGATGCACATAACCACTCGGATGTGTCTCAAGAATCTGTTGAATCTTTTTATCCATAGATTCTTTACTCAATCCATCCTTTATAAATAATATTTTATCTTCTCGATTTTTGGACACGAACCCCAAAGATGTACATCGTGCGTCACAAGTCCATCGAGCACATTTGAAGCATCCACCTAATCTTTTTGCTCTTCGTTTCTTTGCAAAGGTAATTTTACCCATACCTGGCATATATTTGTATGAATTTGGAAACTCTCTAGACAATCGAACTTTTGCTTCAATCAACCATCGAATATCACTTGGAATATCATTAATCATTAACACCCTCAATCTTTCTAATCGAGATCGATAAATCCTTTTTATGATATTTATTGGGAAAAAATAATAATATTTACAGATATTTGAGAATGCTAAATCCATTTGTGAATTAGGACCTTTGTTAAGGAAGATTGAATGATTTACATGATAATTTATAGAAATGATGCGTATGCGATACGACTCTAAAAACAGAGCTTAAAAGTCTTCAGGCATGATACGCATGTGATACGTTTCTGAAGTTAAATATTGGGTGCACTAGAAGTGCATTTATTGCCGCCGAAAGATGATGTGATATGTTTGTGATAAATATGAATTATTGTGATGTTTACCGATATAAATGGTAATGGTTTGCATGATTTGTGATATGTGATGTTTTGTTCTCGATTGATAAAAATTATTACTAGCTAAGTATTTGTGAATCAATATGAAAAGGGGTACGATATATGGGCCTACTACCTCTACATATGTGCTACTAGATATTATAGATCCACTAGATAGCCATATGATTATATGATTCGTAACTTGAAGTTACAAGACGTTTTGAGCAATGAATGTGTATATGAAATGTAACCTGAAGTTACGAGATGATTATAAGTGTCAAAGCTAGTAATATACCCAACTAATATGATGAACTCTTGAAAGAAAATTGTGCACATTACAAGTAATATGAGTTCAAAGTTCTCATATTATATATACATATTGAAATCAAGAACGAAACGGAGACTATATGAACTTCTCTTAAGAAATTCAATATTGAAAATACAGATCAGAGATTTGTTAAGACGAAGGGGAGAATCAATGATTAAAAATTTGAAATGATATATGTATCACACTGGAAGTGTGCAAATAAACTGAACGATATTGATGGAAGTGAAATATGTGAAATATTATGATGATGGAATAATACGCCGGAAGCGTTGATATTATGATATTCATGGAAATATGATGAATATATGGAATACGCGTTGTACTCTTTTTTCCTTGACTGAGGTTTTGTCCCATTGGGTTTTCCCAGCAAGGTTTTTAAATGAGGCAACATAGATGGTGTATTCACATGAATAGTGGACTCTTTTTCCTTAATTAATATTTTGTCCCACTGGATTTTTCCTAATAAGGTTTTAACGAGGCATATTCATGATATGATGAGGTCTACTGAATAAATAATATGATTCCTCATAATGATAAAAAGATATTGGAGTAGTTGTACTCTTTTTCCTTCGATCAAGTTTTTTTTCCCATTGGGTTGTCTTGACAAGGTTTTAATGAGGCAGCACGTGGATACTCTACTAAATATGATATATTTGAGGGGGAGCAATGTTATGCTTCCACGATGCTCAGGTTTTGTCCCACCGGGTTTTTCCTGACATGATGAATCAACGCTACTTGATGGCCACAAGATAAACTTCAAGATGTTCAGATTATGTTTTGTTCGAATAGTGATATTTAGAAAATGGTCATTCAAGGGGGAGTGTTATAATATATGTGCATGAGGTGCACAAGGTGCATAAAATAATATATGTGAATGACTATTTTGTCCCTGATGTAATTGTATTATTACGATTGTGACATCAAAAGTTTTCCTATAAATAGGAGTTTCAGTTATAATGAAAATGGAACTAAGAGAAACATTTTCTCTATTCTCTTTTTCTCTCTAGTTTTATAACAAAAATGTCAACCTGTGTTGAATTTTTTTACTTATATCATATAAAAATATCGATATTATTTACTATTATATAAGTACAAAAATATATATCTTAAATAAATAGAAATAAAATGGTGATATGTCTAGTGTAGAATATGTTTATTTAATATTAAACAAAATAGATTAATTTTTTACTTAATTAGATGCCTAATACATCAAGTGTTGTATCAGTCGTGCTTCAAAGTTTTTTAACTTTATATGTAAATTTTAGAATTTTTATAAATAATTATTTATTTTTATTACATTGACAACATACCAATTAGATTTGAAATAAATATCATTTTTAAAAGAATACATACCAATTTCTATTACTTTATAATATAATTTATAGTCTTATTTGATATAATTTAATTTAGTTTGATAAATAAATTTAAATTTTTTTTATAAGGATATATATTACTGTTTTGCATTATATATACATATATATAAATAGTAAAATACGAACGAACTTCACAATATCAATTCAAATGCAACACACTAATTAAGATTTTTTTTCTTGACAATATTAACTCTATTTAATGGATGTTATGGAAAACGATGGAGATGGGATATGAAGAGACACTGTGTATTAGAACGAGAGTTAAAAATGAAAAAATATGAACAAAATATCAGAAACGACATTTATTTTATCAATGATCAATTAAGTCAAAGTAACAAATAATAAAAATAGGAGGGAGTATATATTATTATATATTTTAGTATGACACATGTTACTTGTGCAACTTATATGTGTATATTATAATAAATTTTCTACCTTATAACATATAACTACATTAAACATAAATATATTAATTGATAATAATTTTATTTTCTAATTAATTTTAATAAATATTTTTTTTATTATTATAAAGATAAATAGAATTTATTTATTTTATATATACAATATGGATATCAAATCGAAACTCATCAGAAGATAATTAATTTGATATATATGTAAAACCGATAAGAAATACAAAAGTTATCAACTTTTAAAATATATTTTCAATTCAATGGTTATAATAAAAAACGATATTAAACTACAATTAATATAAATATTAATTTATATCTAAGCCTAACTCCAAAGTACGATTTTTTGTCAAATAGGATTCCGAAGCATGAGAGTTTGCCACGTAGGCTCAATGCATTCTGAAATTATATATAGAGGGGATATCATATGAGATGAAGGATTAAAGAAAAAAATCTTCACAGTTTCTTTTAAAAAAGATATATGTGAGATTGAGTGCAATTGTCACTTGTTTGAGTTTCGGGCATTATATGCCGACACACAATATCTATTTTAATTAGGAACAATGTTAGCAAGCTGCCACATAAGTACGTCTTGAGAAGATGGAGGCGAGATGTCAGCAGACCATATGTGCGGATTGAAACCATGTACGATGGTATGGCTAGTACTGTTGAACAGTTAAGATATGAGAAATTATGTGCTGCTTTTACTAAGATGGCAAACTTGTTAGCTGAGAATGAAGAGCGGTCAAATCAACTGTTGGAATGGATTGATTGTCGAACGGATGAACTTGCTAAAGCAAAATATAATACCATGGGCACACATGGAAATGAATTGGGTAACTCTGAAAATATAAGAATTTTGGATCCACAATGTACAAAAAGTAAAGGTGCGCCAAAAAAGCTTCGCAAGAAAAGTCCTTTAGAGACTAGTTCTAAGAAATCAAAGAATTGTAAGGTGATGTGGATAGCTTTTCATTAATTTTTATTTTCAGTTATGGGTTGAGCTTTTTATAGTTATATTTTTTTAATTAAAATGGACCATTACAGGTACTTAAAAAAAGCCACAATGTATGTTGATGCTTTTCAAGCACAAGGATTTGTGATGCAATGGAGCAATGAATGGGGAGAAAGAGAGCAATAAATTGGAGTTGTTTTGAAGTTTGCTTGTAATAGCTGGTTAGTTTCATGGTTTGCTGCTATTGGGGTTTTTGGGGTTTGTGGTGTTGGCTTTTGCTTTGGAACATGATTGGCAGATGGATGTGTGAAAGAGCTTTTGGCTTTGGTTTGTTTTTTNTCTTTGTTTTCTAGTGTTTTGATAGAGAGGGAATCTCCTTATTTCCACAAGTTTCCTAGCTATTTTGTTGTAATAATTAAGGGAACTGCATTCTGCACCTAATTCAGTGAACTGATTCTATGTTGGTTAGCGTCTGTTGCTCCATCTTGCTATAGAAGTAATATTTATGTGGCATCTAGCTTCTACAATTCATTCAAGCAGCTTAGGCTGCTTTTTTCTTCAATTATTTACTGGTTAAGGATGTCAAATTCTAGAATGTTTATTGTATAACCCGAAGCCCCCGGAGCAGCATTTCAAGTTACATTTTTCTACCTTGAAGTTTGATGTCAGTTATACTAGTTCCCTCTCTATTTTCAACTGTATCAACAAATAAAAAGTTGGTCATTTGGAATTTACAAGACTTACACAGTATTTTTCCAGCAGTAGGCACATTTTATTTTCACATGTTAGTTTTTTTTTATAAAAAAGCAGATATCCCCACTAGTGTAATGTTTCCTCTCAAGGTTGTAAAATGAAATAATGCAATTATGTATTGTTTGTAAATGAACATATGTAAAATCATGTTCATGCAAAGATGATTTTCTATAGCCTGTCACCCACAACAAATCCTAACCTATCCTATCTTCAGTTGTGATTAGGATATCACATGAAAAATCCACAATCAGAATCCCATTAAACATCCTCATAAACACCACCAATCAAGTTAAATTAAGCCATCACAGATACTCAAATGATATTAAAATCCAATAATCAAATTCATCTTACGCAGCAACAACTATATGAAAGGTATACATGACACCAGTAAGCCACCTTTATTAAACAATAGCTAATCCAACACAACACAATCCAAAGACTTGGACTCAAAAGACACAGACACATACGTGAGACCTCACCCTTCTTTCAGAACTTCGTCCTCGAAGACGGTGACCAGTCGGAGTACTTCCACCCGTACTCGTTCAGTCGTCCCGGTCCAAGCTCACCTCGATTTCCCCTCGAACAACCTCAAGTTCTACCTCGTCCGCGGCAGCCCTTTCGTGACCTGCAAAATCAGGCGCAAGATCCCGCTACCGATTTCGACAAACCACACGATTCGAGCCCTAATCCCTAACACCGACCTCACGAGTATTTCGAGCTGATCCGAATAGCCGTACTACCCGACCCGAAATCCGAATCCGTTCTGAATTTGTACAGCAGGTACCCCGTGAGCGGCGAAGCACTTTTCAATGAACCCTTCAGAAGAAAATGTCAAAACCTAATAAAACAAAAATGTCGAAAAACTTACCAAGAATTCAATTCTCGTCGATGATATTCTTCTCATTTATCACTGAGGAGAAAGAGTTGCTTAATCTTTGAGAGAGATTTTTGTGAAACTTTTTTTTTCTCGGTAGAAGTGTTTTGAGAGTCAGAAGTGAAGTGGAGGGAGAGAGAAGATGCCTTATTTAATTGTGGAACATTTTTGTTTTCTTAGAGGAGAAATTTATTTTAAAATGTGGCCACTAGCATTATGTAAGAGTGTACCTCAAGCATTATCCTTAACTTTAATATCTTCATTATCATCATCATTATAAAAATAAATAAATCACTACTCAAATTAAATTTAATCTCCCCATTATCATCACCATTATAAAGATCATATCAACAAATAAGCATATCCAAGAAGTATAACAACAATAGAACAGACAAAGAAAAACAGGTGCTAACGGTCCACGTGGCCTTCAAATCGAAATCGCAATCTATATATACAGCAGCTGCTAATGACTCCACAATGTCTGCAAGAATTTTTGGAGCTTTCACCAGGCCTCCATAAATCTCAGCCTCATCCTCTCCTTCTACTACAATCACAAATTGTCTTACCTAAATCACCAAAAAACAAAGGACTGCAATGGGTTAGCTTCGTAACAAGCACATGACGACGTGTTTGGCAATGTAAGCAACACTTGCTACGAAGCTAACCCATCGCAGTCCTTTGTTTTTTGGTGTTTTAGGTAAGACAATTTGTGATTGCAGTAGGAGAGGATGAGGCTGAGATTTATGGAGGCCTGGTGAAAGCTCCAAAAATTCTTGCAGACATTGTAGAGTTACTAGCAGCTGCTGTATATATAGACTGCGATTTCGATTTGAAGGCCCAGTGGACCGTTAGTACCTGCTTTTCTTTGTCACAACATTGCTTATGAAGGTTTCATTGTTCGCTAGACGTGCAGCAAGCATCAAGCACATTGCGGCTGCCTCTCCTTCACCAAAACGGTTAAAGAAGTCCTCAAGAAGTGATCTTGGCGAGTTGGACTCCAGTAGTCGTCTCAGAATGTCAATAGGTCTATTGAAAACTACTTCCATCATACCCATGGTACTGAATATGACTATCTTCCTTCGTGGTAATATATGTTGAGTAAACAGATCACCTCTAGCCAAAAGTTTACTAGAAGTCTTTTCACAGGACTCCCATGAGCTACGAAATCCACAGAGTTCAAATTCTGAATATAGAGACTGTACGACTGAAGCTGTGTCCGGAAGGGGCAAGACATCTGCCACAAAAAGCATTTTGCCTTCCACAGGAAGAGACAACACTGATTTTCGGAGGGCGCGAGCACTCCTTAAACCAGTTCCCGAGCCAGCAGATGAGAGAGATTGGGTTGTAGAATCCCTGGTCACGATCAAAAGTGACGACACAGCAGATGCAGATGTATCAGAAAGGACAAGAGTCCCAGAAGAATAATAGGCTGACTCGATTTTCAGAGATAGATCGTCATTCTGTGATCTTCCACCAGCAAGAGACAGGGCTCCAAAAGCAAGCCCACCACTCACCCCTATAGGAGGAGATGGCCTTGTCGTCACAACCTTCAAGCAACTTGGTCCCGGTTACCAAGACCACCAAAACCTCCAGCAGCCCCACCACTTCCACCAGTAGTGGTGGTAGTGGAAAGGTACATTCTTCGCCCGTCTGACAGAACGGCAACGAGATGCAACCACTTTGATTCTAACATAGATAAAGGTGATATAGAAACTATAGAAGGCTTTGTTGGACGAGAAGGGGCCCTTGACCCTGCTTGTTGTCTGGACCCATAGTTTGACTCCCTCTGAGGGATCAAGTTTCTCTCTTCTGCCACCTTCTTCAGCGGGCCATCTCCATTCGGCCCAAGAGAGAATACTTGAATTTTCATCTCCTCTGTACGTGCGTATAAAATGTGTCTCTCCGAATCAACGACCATTTCAACGATTGGGTCCATGGCTCCAAATTTGAAAACATTAGGCACAACCCACCTGGAGAGAGAGAGAGAGATGGAGAGTGAACAAATTAACCTACTGAAAATCCATGTTTTAAATACCGTACCGTACCGGCCGGTAATACCAATAATACCGGATACCGACCATGGCCGGCAATACCAATAATACCGGATACCGACCATTGGTACGGTACAATTTCACTCAAATTATCGGATTTACGGTTGTACCGGTTTGTACCGGGATCATACCGGTCCAAAATACCGGTCAATAAAAAAAATTAAAAAAAAAAATAATTTAAAAAAATAAAATTTAAATTGATAGTTAAAATGTTTAATTTTTATTTCATTGAGAAGTTGTAATTAATGATTATGGTCATTTATTTTTTACTTTTTTGCATTTGATATTATATATTTTTATGTATATTTATATATATCATTATATTTGCTAATCCGGTAATACCACCGATATTACAGGTCCTATCGGTAATACCGCGTATCGGTGGCTTGACCGGTATGACCACCGGTACGGTATTTAAAACACTGCTGAAAATGATAAAGTTAAGGCACAAGTAAGATTCAGATTTGATATCAATGTTTCTCCACAGCAACCAGAAAATTTCACAAAGCCATTGGTGGAAAAGTGACATTAATCGGTAAACTGCATCTGCCAGAAGAAAGTCATTGACGTTTTTGGAAGGAAAAGACAACAGTCTTAACACTTCAACGAGCGCCGTCAATGAGAAACAAAAGAAACACAGAAAATGAGAAATTACCTCGAGATAACACTCCCAAGACCAGCAGTTAAGCAAACTTTACGACAGCGCTTTTGCCAACCTGAACCAGTCGTATATTGCAGTTCATAAACATGGCCATCTTGGCCAGCCAGAAATATGAGACCCTTATCAGTGCAAGTGATGCAGGTCATGGTGACTCCATCAGATGGAATGGTAAGAAACCTCCGCGTACAGGTCGGTTTCATCACCTCTTGCAGAACAACATACTCCAACTAGGATCAGCTGATTGACAGAAAGTGTTCTTGTAAGATGAAAGAAAAACAAAAAGTTCTATAAACTTAAAGCAACTAAAACATGATCACAAAGGATGGGGAAAAAGTAATGAGAAATAAGACACTTTGGCCATACTCATACAAGAAATGTAACACAGGACTCCCTTTCAAGTTGCATGATAAAGCACAAATAATCTCACTGGCATAAGATAAGATATATCTTAACTGTTCACATTGAAAGAGAGTCTGCAGAGACAAAAAAAAAAAATCAACATTTGGGTTTTGTTGCAAGGAAAAAGAAAAGGCGAATAGGGAGAGATGGATATGCGTATGGAATTTATCATTGATTGGAAACAAAGTTAAGAAAAGAGGAACTTCAACAAGGTTTAACACAATTACAAGAACTCATATAATCTCTGATATTAATACACCTTGAACATCAACATGTGATAGTATTAGACACTAAAATCATTAAATTAAAATAATAGAGTGGGAAAAACATTCCTCAGAAGCAAATGCAGCCAGCTTAGAACTAATCTAACAGTACACCTACTCAAAGCAATACCAATTGCAGAAACCTTAACAAATCTCAATAACTCGTTTCAAACACCAAATCTTTGTGAAATTGAAGCAGGGAAAGAAAAATGTAAATGATAAAGAGTATATATAAACAGGTATCAATTTTCAGTTTCAGCAGTTAAGCGATCAGGCCCAAATGCCCCGCACCTATATGGGAAGTCCAATAGTCAAAAGTGTCAGTAGGTTAGGACTTACCCTTCTCAAAACAAAAAAAAAAAAATAATAATAATAATAAATGAATAAATAAAAGAGCACAAAGAATTAAGCAACGAAAATCTAGAAAACCCAACTGCATTTATTCATTACTACTTTGAGTGAATCATATAGCATTCCTCCAGTAGAAGGCCATCAGATAATACAATCACTAAATCATATAAGCCTCAAGTTTGACCCCCTCCAGGCACTCTTTTGCATTTCACAATATAGGGAAGGAAAAAAAATCTTTTTCAGAAAGTAGCAAATGTTGATTGCCATATCCCTAATTAAATGTACAACATAATTTAGTGGAAATGTTAAAGAGGAAATATACAACACAATTTAGTGGAAATGTTCAAGAGGAAATAACGAAACACTGCTATCACCTCATAGCACCGCTAATGCATGAATGATATAGTGAGATAAAATTACCTCAACAGGAGTTGCCAACACAAGAAGATACTGGATGGCTTCAACAAAAACACCAGGCTTGGCTTTTGCCAAACCAACAGCACAAATTGCTTGTTCTTCCCCACTATATTTGGGACATTGACCATCGCTGCAAGACAACAATGATGCGATGAAATAACGGATAAATAATATTCTTCACAAATAGAAAACTACAAGATTGGTGCAAGTGAACAGAAAGTACTTAAACCAAATTTGAATTGAGTCTAATCAATGTAAAAAATAGAGTATTTGGAGGAACCTTGGGCTTTGATTAAAAGATCAAATATCTAATTTGTATCATTCGCATCACAAATATTAAAGAATCACTAATGACGTAGTAAAACATGCCAATAAGATTGTTTCCACATTACAGAAACACTTAATACAATAACATGTTAGGTCAGTGAATAATCAATAATTATACCAAAAATTGAAGCACAAGGTGGGATTCTTTCGCTATCAGCTGAAAAGGTTGAAGTGCATAATCGAGCATGAACAATAATCCTTTGTGGTAGAAGAAACAAAATTGCTCCAGTTTTTCACTTACTTATATGGTTTGCTAAAAAATTGGTAGCAATAATTCAGAAATGGTACTCTACAGCCTACAGGTGTAAATGCAATGCTATATAGTGACAACTAAAAGACTAGCTACAAAACGAATGTAAATTGAACAATCTTGGAGAACATATCAGCGTCTCAGGGTTAACAACCATAGTTTAAAATGGCAAGGCGAGGCGACCGAGGCGAGGGCTACATCGCCTCGCCACTGCCTGAGGCGACCCTGTTCGCGAGGCGCTCGCTTCAGGTCGCCTCGGCTCGCCTTTTCACGTGGCGATTAAAGGCGCAGTCCATTTTTTAAAAAAAATAAAATAAAATAAAATTAAAAGGCTCTTTCTTCACCTCATCTCCCAGACCCACGAACTGAAAACTACAGTTTTAGACTGAGAATACGAAAGCTGAAGGTGAAAAATCCCTAAATAGCTTCTCCCCAAACTAGGGTTTCTGCGAATGAACTCCTTAGGCTTCTCATATTTGAAAATTGTAGAAACCCACGGCTGACCCATCCATTTCCGGCCTCCTCTGAACTCTGGCTACCATCTCGCCGCCGAGATGGTCAGTGATGCATGTTTTTTCCTTTCTTTTCCTTCTCCCTTTTCTCTGTTTTCCTGTTCTACCTTCTCTCTTTTTCTTCTCTCTTCATTTTTTACTAGTATGGTCAATAGTCAAAGGTGAAAAGGGTGCAACATCTTTATTTCATTTACTTTTACTTTACACTGTTTATTTACCCTTTTTAACATTTTTCTATTTTATGTTACTACACAGTGTAAATTCAATATATTTTTTGTAATGTTACTAGTATTCACATTTAAGTTTTAGATGCTTTTAGTAATTACAACCAAATTTAATTTATATTATTTTCTTTGAGTATATTTAAGGTTATTTTTGGCACTTAAACTTAAATATATGATATTACTATCTATATAAATATATTTTTTAAGCTTTGATGGCTTGTGTTGCTGAGGCCTCGCCATGGCGAATCGCCTCGCCTCGCCTCGCCATTCGCCATTTAAAACTATGTTAACAACAAATTCGTTCGTCTCTTATTAGTAATTGTTCTGGAGTACAAGAGTTATAGTTAACAGCTATCAACAAAACCAACTTGTACCACTTATCAAATCGCAAAAGAAATAAGGAGTTATCGACTGATGCCCATGCCCTTCGTATTTCTGGAAAAATACCACATAAAGCTGTTCCTTCTCCACCAGCTGCATTATATCTTTCAATCAACACAGGAGGCAACTCCCAATTGTCCAAAACTTCAACCAAAGGAGGCCACTGCAATGCAACAATGGTAGGATAGGATTTACGATCCTTTATAAATGGGCAATTATCTCTACAAAGACTTTACAATAAGTTATCACACCTCATGCTATCACGGCAGAATTAGTAAATAAATGTAAAACCATACAGTGCCAGATATGAAAGATCATTGTAATACAAATTAAGCACCACACTCTGATGCATAAACATTCTCAGGAGAATTCATATGGAAACAGCACATTGTTAAATTACTATAATTAGAGCATTACTAAGTTGCCATCTTACAATCCTTGTGTGACATACTAAACTTACAAGCCATGTTGCTGACATTCAGCCACTTGATTATACTCTGAAAGAAGGTAGAGATTCATATATATTGCAAGTATACAAATAAAACAAAAGAAACAAGCAAGTCAATTATTGCAGTATATCATACATTCCACATTTAAAAGGGATGTTATCTTCAGCTGCATGTTAGGATTCTGATGGCCAACAAAGGATCTTCTGCCCCTTCGTCGTTACATAAAGCTGTTCTTACCACACAGTCACACTCACAATGCATTGCAAAGCTCTATTATCATGAATTTCCGACAGAAGTAACAGACAACAAGCAAATGAATGAGATTGAAACGATGTGTTTGTCTTGAGAAGATGTTGTCTGAGCTAATCCAAAAGCTTAAATTATCATATAAGATGTTTTTAGGCTAATAAGCTGTCGTGTCTTACTTTAAAAATAATTTGATCTGTAATGAAGAGAAGGTTCGAATTTATAGGATGTTAAGGATTAGAACAAAGGAATATAAAGTTCGGGAGGGTTTATTTTTTCTCAAGGAGCCTGTAAGTTCTTAAAGGACTTATTTTGCATCCTACAAGCTATTTTAAGAAAAATAGCCAAACAAATATTATGACCTTATAAGCTTTAAGCGTCCCAGAAGATGCTTTGAAGAGCGTGCAAGCTCTCCCACACAAACTCAGAAATCTTATTTCTCCAACAATTCAGAGACAAGTAAATATAATCTTTCTGTTTCACATGAATAACCCCAATTCACATATAGCATTTTCCACTCGCATTTTTTGATCATTTTCATATTTAGTAGCTCAACACTCGGATCCATAAAGCATCATCAGTCGAACGGCCGTTCAATAGAACTTGTCTTTCAAACTCACTAGTACTTAACAATCACAAAGTATCGACGACACGCTCCTCCACTTGTTCCATCCCGATTGAATTCTATGTGTTACATCCTAATCTATGTTGCCATTATCTTCAAGAATGGATCCTAAATATTTAAAGCTTTTAGATATATTCAATTCGTTTTCCCCAATTTTAACTTTTACCACATTATTATTCATTTGATTACTAAAATTACACTCCATATATTCCGTTATTAACCCTACTAATTTTGAAACCATTAGATTCAAGCGCCTCTCGTCATGTTTCTAACCATTTACCTCATCTCTCGTCTCATCTACTAACACTATGTCATCTACAAACAACATGCAACATGCAATCGGTGACAAATCTTGCAGCAACATGTAATAGATGACTTATACATCACTATAATGCAACAACAAATCTTGCATTAAGCAATCAAAGGTCTTGTCCAAAAGGTCAAACGATAAAATTCAGCACACATATTCAAGGCATTTTCAACGGAAACAAATTTATAGATTTTCCACTCCAACATGTACAGCCATGATCAGAGTTACCTGTCAACATTTGCCCAGGTAGGCAGGTACAATAAATAGATCAGTACAATCTTCTCTTGTTTGTTTCTATATCCAAATTTTTTGGCATCATAAATTGTTCTCTCCTTTGCTTCTATAACCAAATTTTTCCATCGTCTGAAGTTAATTCTAGTTGAGGAATGCCTATTAGTATGAATATTAGATAATTAGACTAATGTCGAGATAATGAAAGAGTAAGTCCTTCCTGAGTCACTTTACTACTGCCAATGACTTTCATAGAGGGGTGAATATACTTATTCCTCATTTTCAGGCATCTTTTTGGTTGTACATTAACAATAATTGCTAAATTGGCAACACTGATAAATGCTACTTTCTCATGTTGCATCCATTTCCACAACAATCCTCCCATGTTTTCAGTAACATGACTGCAGGCCATGACTACCGAAATCATAGTTCTAGAAATACTAAAATGTACAGTCTTATCTTTCTTCTTGAGCACGATAGAGGTGAAATCAAGAGATAAAATCTAAAGACGTTCCCAATAGCCCAAAAACCGTATATACCCGTGTTCTCCTAGCGCTAACAAAGCAGTTCAGAACTTTTAAGGAAAAAAAAATGGACGAAGATGAAGAAAATGAATGAAATCCGATGGAACAAATTAGCAAAGGATCAAGCACCGTAATCCATTGGTATGCACTTGAAAGTGCACTATATAGTAACCCCAACCAAGCATTGAAAAATAAAATAAAAGGATGCTCAAGAAATTTAAGATATTCAATCAAATTAAACACACAAATGGAATACGTATAAAATTACCTCGCGCGGATGGGTTGAGTAAGGATGACTGGAGTATCTAGAAGCCTCTAAAGCTTCTTCCAGGTCGAGCTGCCCCGCAATTTCCCGGCCAATGCGATCGCTGACAACGAGACCCGCATTGGTGACGTCGCGCATTACTACTTCATTCTTCCAAGCAACCATCTTTAAGTAAAATTTCAAAAATAAAGTAAAAACCTGGATAATGAACCCCTTTTATTACTTGATTACTAGCTAGGACTCTCAGTCCTGGTGAAGATAAACCAAAACCTAGGGCCTGAATTAAGACGGAAAAATTCAAGCCCTAGCTTGAAATTATACGAGAATAATGTGGAGGGCAGATATACATTCAAGTCAACAGTAGAGATTTTTGGAGAGATTCAGATTTTCCAATTGGAGAGGTTTTGGAGGGATTTGTGAATTAGGGTTTGGCGTTGGCGAATATGAAGCTGCGAATTCAAAAACCCCGGTGCTTAATTTTTTTTTAAAATTTTATTTTAAATATAATTATTTATATATAAATATCTCATTATGATAGTAAAAGAAATATAAAATATGAAAAATTATATATTATTGTAAGCTAATGTTTACAATTTAAATATGTGTATAATTGTTCGCAAAATATTTTCATTATCCGCAAGTGTACGGTATAGCTATAATGAGTGGCGAGCAAACTCTTATTCCAAAGATATTGTTGTTAAAATAATCAAGTACCAAAATATTGACGAATAAATATTATTCAGACTAACTCAAATTCGAATGGTGATTTTATTCTAATTCTAACTACTAAATGATTGCAAAATAAATTCTAACACTAATGAAGGCTTGTTCTAAGATAAATCAAGAATGAGAAAATAGATTCTAGGCTATGCTTTCCTCGGGATTATTCTAGCAAAGATTAATTATTCATTCAAACCTTATTTAATTCTACCATTCGTAGGAATAATCACTAATCGTAGATATTAATTATTATCTATCTCCTCTCGGTCTCAAGATGAACAATCAACTCACATAAGCTCCTACGATTCTAGTTCCCTCGCAAGATTCTATCAACATCTCGGTCTGTTTAGTCTCTTACGTTATGAATTTTCCAATTCTAGCAATCAACTATCTCCTCTCGGTCTCAAGTCAATCATAAATATGCACAAATACGGGCTCTATATTCACACAATTAATAAAAGCACAAGAAATTGATAAACGAATGATAAACCAGAAAGAATAAATAAAATCACTTTATAAAATAATCCAAGTACTCGCAAATCCTAGAATCCTAAAAGGTTTAGCTACTAAACATATTCTCAAAACTCAAAATAAATAAATCCATGAGTTCAATAAAGAAGAACTACTGTCGCCGTTAGTTCCCGAATCTTCAATCTTGACTTCCTCGAATTCCTCGTGTGTTTCGTGCTTTCTCTAGGCCTTCAATGGTGTCAAAAGTCTCTAAAACGAGTTCCTCAGGTCTGTTTTATACTGTAGGGCAATTCTGGGTCGAAAAAGGGAAGAAAACACACAAGAATCCTATTCCCCGCTGATATGGTCTGCGCGTCACACGAGTCGTGTCACATGCCACACGAGTCGTGTGACTTTTCTCTAATTTTCGGCGAACTTCCAGACTCACACGAGCACCCAAATGACCGGGTCAGATGAGTCGTGTGATGTCACACGACCCGTGTGAAAAAGTCGTAGTTGCGTCTCTTATTTTCTCAACCCACACGACCTGTGTCACTACCCACACGAGTCGTGTGGCCTCGTCTGCACCCCGTTTTCGCCACTTTTCGTCCCGATTCTATTTTCAACGCGTTTCCGGGCATATTTCCTGCAAAACCAACGACAAAAGTACATCTATCATAGATTAATAAATAAAACAAAATGGTGCACAATCACACGATAACCATGGCCAAATATCACAATATATCACTCATAATGCATGAAAATATGATGAATGTCAATAATACGTAACAAAATTGCTATAATTAGTTGAAATTGGACCTCTAGATATTACAAATCATTTCTTGATTATATTTTGATAATTCGATTCTTCTTGTTTTAACTCTAATATGAATTCTATTCATAAGCGATAATTACAAAAAAAAAAAACATTGATATCAAGAAATTTTTAAATTTAATTATTTTGTACTTAATTCAAGTTTCAATTTCTCTTGTCATAAAAATAATTAAGTCATTATTTACCTTCATAAATAAATTACAACTACTATCTAAAGGCAAAATGCAAAATTGGTCTTATAATTTAGCCAAAATCTAAAAATTCACCCGTTATTGACCACTTTCAAACTGAGTCCAATAATTTGGCAATTTCATCAATTTTAGACCCTTTTTATTGGCACCCTGGATAAAAACGTGACGTGGCCGTTTTTTAATGTGACATGGCGTGATTGTGGTTTACGTGGTTGGATTAGAAAAGGCAAAAATAATATTTCATTCCAAATTATTAAATCTATATCCACAAGGTCAACACCCCAATTTCACAATCTTAGCAATTTATGTCGACACCCTTCGGCTTGGGGGGAAGTACGGCTGGGTGACCGGCCTAACATTCTCTTCGGGGTCATCTGGACCGATCTGCTTACCCCGATCATCTTTGTCTTTCTATGGCGCCTTCTTCTGCGTTGATTATCGATTGATACTGTGATGCAGGCGAGGGGGTTCTCTTTCCCTTCGTGTTGCTACTATTATGTTGAGACCGACGACTTTCAGATTAAGACCTTCACCCATTTGTTTCTTGAGAGCGAGACTGTGAGGAGAGTGTGGGAGCATTATGGCAATTACACTCACATACTCCTACCCACCACAGATAATTTATTTGAGCTCCTGAGTTTTTTCACACAGGGCACACACAATAGACACGTTACTTTTTTATGCTCTCATATTATTTTGCAGGTTGACCGACATCTTTCTCTCTTCACCGCTCTGGGCAAACTCACCCCTAGAGACTAGATAGGTTGCACGCCGCCTCACCATTTTGCACCACCTTCGCTGTCGCTTGTCCAGCATCCACGTCCCAGAGCTGTTGTCTGGCTGAGACCCGAGCCACCTTGGGTTAAGCTAAACACTGACGGATCATTTGACCGACTTACCGGAGCCGCCGGAGGTGGGGGCATGATTAGGGATCATAGCAGTGCTCTTATTATCGTTTTCCATGCCCCTCTTCGGCCCTCCTCGAGCTATGACGTGGAGGTTCAGGCGCTTCAGATTGTTGCCTCGATCTCCTCTCACATTTGGATAGAGTTGGACGTTGTCACTGTCATCACACTCTTGACCTCTGGCCATCAGGGGGCGTGGTAGATTCAGCATCCGCTCATGCGTATTAGAGCCACACTCGGTCGATTCGCTATCGGATCTCGTACATTTTCCGCAAGGGGAACCGATCTGCTGACTTCCTGCTAGCATCGGGACCTTCATCCCGATAGACGCATTCTTCATCCTGACGATGTTCCTCTCCGCCTTCGTATCCTTATACGGATGGACCATATGGGCTACCCCTCGTTCAGATTTGGGTAGTCACCCCTATTTTTTGGTGCTTATGCTCACTCGTGGTGCTGACTCTTCGCCTAGACTGTTGTCCGACTAGGCTCTGATCCTTTTGTGTTATTTGTTGTTGTTGTCTCTTTTTTCTTGATTGTTTTCGTTTGTTTGGTTCGTTGTATCTTAGACATTAGACTTATAGACTTGTGATTATTCAGCCCATATATAGAGGTTGGGGTTCTGCCTAGGGCTGCAAACGAGCCGAGTCGAGTCGAGCACGGACCTTATCGAGCATAAGATCGAGTTTTTTTTTCATTGCTTGAGCTCGAGCTCGAGCTCGACGAGCCATAAAAAACGGCGCTCGAGCTCGACTCGTGAAACAAATGAATTGCTCGAGACTCGACTCGAGGCTCGAGATCGACTCGAGTTTAGCTCAAATTTTAACTACTATAATTCAATATATGCTAAACCTGATTATTATTACAATTACAACATCCAAAATCGAAGTTAAGCCGTACATACAAAAATGCATTCATCAATATCACAAACTTGTCCCAAAATCAACAAAATACATTCATAAATATCATAAACTTGTCCCAAAATCAAAAAAGAAATATAGCCAGCTTCCAAATTCTCAAGCCCCAAAATCAAAAAAGGAAATACAGCCAACTTCCAAAATTCCCAAGCTGCAATATCACAAGTGTTACAGTCTCACTGACTTGTCCCAAAAACAAAAATATACATATATAGTCGGCTGCAATAATTCCCAAGCCATTAGTTACCAAGCATACTTCCAAAATATAGTCAAGCCTGCAATAAAACCAAATTAAAAAAGTTAGACATAAACTAAAAAGGGAAAGAAAAGAAGCAGACCAATACAACTACTACCTGAAATGATAAATCAACTTATAGGTAACAAGATCTCCTGAGCTGATTTCACTTTCTGCCAAAAAATTAAGAAAAAAATACAACAGAGAAGTAAATAGACAATGGTTACATAATTTTCAAATTAATATTTTCAACATACTTACTTTCTCTTTTTTCTTAATGCCGTGTCGCTTACGACACCAATCACCAGCACACATTAACATTTCAACAGTTTCTGGAGCCAACGAAGCACGATATGAATCAATCACTCTAGTCCCGGCACTAAATGTTGCCTCTGAAGCTACAGTATTAATTGGAATGGCCAAAATGTCGGCAAAATCTTGTACTTCGTTGTGTCCCTCCACCACTTTAGAGCATCTAAGTTTACAATGTCCAAATTTGAGTCCTCTGTGGCTGTGAGAATACCATCCTCAAAGTAGGTATCTAATTCATTTTTTTGTGGTTGAACATTCCCAGCTGTCGAAGCATAAGATAAAAACTCGCTCATGCCAGTACGATGCGAGACTGAAGATGGAACATTTGAGCTCTTGTTTCCTGGATCATCCTGACAATTTTTTTTTGAAGCACCTGAAGTTGAAGATTGCATCTCTACATATTCGTCGAACAACTCATACAAAGTAGAACGAACCTTGCTTATATTTAGCTCCACCTCATCAGGAGGATACATCAAAGGAAAGCAATAATTTATCACCACCATTTTGCACCTCGGATCCAAGATGGCAGCTATGGCCATCAGTAAGTTATACTCTCTCCAGTATTTATCGTACTTTGCCTTCATATTTCGAACCATTGATTGAACAAAGTAATCCGCATCATTTGCTTTACTATCTAGTAGTTGTTTTATCCTACAAACCTCATTTAGATATAAATTTGATGTAGGATAATCACTACCTGATATCACATGAGTGGCTGTCCAAAAAAGTTGCAAAATATTGCACACCTTTTCTGTTTTTTCCCAGTCTTCAGTTGCTGGGCATTTGGTATAGCTTGATTCACGGTATTTAAATCTTGGGAAGACTTCTCGAAACTTCAGCGCACAAGCAAGCATCTCATAGGTAGAATTCCACCGTGTTTTGCAGTCGTACACCAACATCTTCCCAGGCACATGTGATTGATGTGCGATTTCAGCAAATAACAAACGTCTTCCATTTGTCTTGTTTATAAAATCGACACTTTCCCTTATATTGCCAACTATGTCTTTGATTTCCTGAAGACCATCTTGAACCATCAGATTTAGTATATGAGCGCAACATCTTACGTGAAATAACTTTCCTTTGCTAAAAGACATTTGTTCCTCGAGAAGGTATCCTTTAAAGATCTCAATGCGGTGTCATTATTTGATGCATTATCCACTGAGATTGTGTACACTTTGCTCTCAATACCCCAGTCTTTCAAACATTTATATATCGCATCGGCAATTTCGACAGCTCGTCTTGGAGGAGGGATGTGCACAAAGTTGAGAACACGCTTTTGCAATCTCCAGTTGCTATCAATCCAGTGCCTAGTTATTACCATATATTCAATCTTCTGATTTTTGGACTTCCAGAGATCCGTGGTCAGGCTAATTTTGTTGACTTTCTTCAACATGCTCTTCATCTTAGTCCTTTCTCTTTCAAATATTACCTTGTAATCATTCTTGCTGCTGGTTCGACTAATTTTTTTTCCATTCGGGCATTCCCCTTTTCAGCATTAAATTCAAGCCATCCTCTTCCATAATTGAAAATGGATGCTCATGCATAAGCACCCATTCCGCCGCTGCTTCTCTCATACCAGCCATGTCAAATTGCCCAGTATGAAGATATGAATGTGTGCTAGAGTCACCTACTGGAAAATTTATCTTTTGTTGCTTTGGTTTCTTCAGCTTTGCCAATCTCTTCTGACATACATTCATATGCCTCAACAAACTAGTAGTTGTACTAGTTTTGGTTTTCATGAATTTTTTCTGGCAATGAATACATTCTGACATGAGAGTTTTTTCCGATCCGACAACTACATCTTGAAAATCCTTCCATGCTACAAACTTTCTAGCTCTCTTTTTTTGTCGAAATGGGTCTAAAGACTCTAAACCATCATCTGGGGCAGCCACTTCATTAGTGCCAACTTCTACCTCCTCTTCATCGCTCCCAAATTCTTCATCTCCAAGAGATGGTGCTTCTTCATTCATATTTACGGGATTTACGGGAGTGTCCATTCTGCCTGAATCATCAATAGCTCCAATATCACGTGGACCTACGTCTTGCGGAGACATTGCCATTATGCTTGAATTTCGCTGTACAATATAGAAATAATATAAAAAGTTAAATTATAAGGACTTTCACAATATTTTCATTTAGCAATACAAAGATAAACTTAATTGTATTGCAAAAAAAAATAAGAAAATAAAAAATTCTAATTAAATTACGGTACTTAAAGGATTGGTGAAAATTTGTTATGTTTGATTACATAACAAAGTAAATTTTAGTATCTCCAAATGACAACTACATTCTCAAAGCATAATATTAAAAAAAATGAGAACTTTCCTAATGGGCAGAATCTCAATGAGAATTCAAATGTAAGGGACGAGTTTTTCGGATTTGTAATCCTACTTTAGATAGACCTTTACATAACAACACATGAGCACTTTTGCTACTTAATTCAACAAAACTGCACTATAAGCACTTTTGCTACTTAATTCAACAAAATCTCTGCTATGAGCACTTTTGCAACTCAATAAAATCTCTACTAACTCTCTGTTTTCTACCACCCAAAAAAAGAAAACAATCTTTTTGCAGAAACACTAGAACGAAATGAGTGATTTTCATTATAGTGTTAATAACGAACACCCCTTAGCATATTAATTTTTTTTTAAAAAAAAAAAAAACACACACACATACCACACACAAACTCACCAATGCTAAACTCAAACACAACAACTAATTTTTTCATACGTTCATTATAGACGGGGCAAAATTTGATAATTTAGACAAAATCTAATACCTTAAACGGGGCTGCAAATTGTAGAAGTGCCGAGTTTCATGGCTTAATAATCCTCATAAATCATAAGTATGACATGGTTAAAAGATTAGCATGCTTTGTGTAATAGCCCAGTTCTGTATTAATAAAAATGACTGATAGGTCGAAAAATGTGCGCGTTTTGTATATTTAATAGTGTATTTTTATACACTTAATTTATTCGCACGTTTATATTTTTTCGACTTATTTATTATTTAGATGGATCCATACACAATGATATTTATATATTTATTTTCAGCGCAATGGAGTGTTTTGTAGACGTGAAGCCGTTGACGCACGTGAGCAATAATTGAGGCGCCTCATTACATGGAAAATTGGTCTCAACGATTGAGTTGATTAAAAGGAGCTCAAGAGTGATTAAGCCTACTTTCATTCTTAATGGACGTTGGGCTAATTAGCCCAAGAGGGAATTAATGGCAACCAATTAATTGGCCAGGGAAAAAATCATGAGGCGCAGACATTAATAATTGGATTTTGGGGAGAATTATTTGGGCTGGAGACTTTTTAGTCTTGGGCAATTATTTTTCCAAAAGCAGCAAGAAATGACACTCACATAAGGATTACTTGTGGGCTGGAGAGTTTAATTTCATGAGGAGACTTTGAGTCTTGTAGGATTCTAATATATTAGCCGTGAGCACTTAGAAAAGAGGGGAACTCTCACGCGGACGGGAATTATTGTTACAAAGAGAAAAAGCCGAGAGAAAAGAACAGAGCAAGGACTGAAGGAAAGAGGCTACACACGCGGAGGGAAGCCGCAATCGCACACGAGGGAGAATTTTATTCTCTCTTTTATCTTTTTATTTATTTTTATTAATATGTTAGGTTAATATTTTTATCCAGTTTGAGGGGATGTTTGAACCCTAATTTCAATTTGTCTATGAATTGAATGACTTATATTTATCGTTGATTAATCGAGACGCCGTATTTATTTTTGTTGATGAGTTGATTCATGCTATCTGTGTTTAATGTTTATGAATTATGTGTATTTGATTTAGTTTGGCCAGCTACGTTGAATGTTCATAGTTTAATTGCTAGATTCGGGACTTTAATCCGTAATTGTTATTGTCTCGTTTCGTTAGTAGTAAACTAGGGGTCGTGCATCCTTAGGGTAGCGTGAGCATAAGTTAAATGGTCCGAGCTTTTGCGTCCATTACTTAGACTGATCTATTTTCTTAGAAATTAATGCTGCTAGTGTATTAAATCTAGAGAGCTTATTCTAGGTTGTCCGCTAGTTAGGTTTAGTCGAAGAGCCTATTTCGATTAAATATTCGGTAAGGGAAAATTCGGTTAACAGAGCTTGTTGTTAGCTAGGGTCGGTAATTCATTAGCAATTTAAAGAAAGCGTCGAAATTAATTAACGGTAGATTTAGATTGGGTGATAACTGAACCGAAAAACTGGACTTCTCTTATTTTATTAGATTTTTATTTTATTTTTATTTTTATAAAACCAATCTCCCCCATCTTTTATTGCTTTCCTAGTTTAATTCAATTAATACGAGATTGTCACAATTTAATTCCTACTCCTCGTGGGATCGACCCTTACTCGCCACTACTACTAGTTAGTAGAGGTTAGTCGAGGAAAATTATAAATTTAAATTTGCCGCGTCGCGACGCGCGGTCAATGACAGTTTTTAGTTCCTAGTTGAACTATTTCTTTTTATTAATGCTGCTCGTCTTGAGTTCCGAGCCTAGTTATCAGCTATTCAAACTCAGTTATTAATTCCGGTCCATTTATTTTTATCAATGGATTTTATTCAGTCGGAATTAATTATTTCAGTTGACGAATAATCGAAACCGAGTATGTTTCGATAAATCGTCCAAGTTAAGCCGTGTCCGAAACCGAGTCGTTCGGTCACGAGTATCGCGCCTAGTTCGCGCCTAGCAAACTCTCGAGCCCTAGTAGTCTCGAGTCTTATTCGAGCCCTAGCCATGCTCATAGCCTTACTTAGAATATTTCTAAGTATGATATCATATTTGTCAAGCCTTGGATGTTATTCCCTCGGTCTAGTATACCGCACCTAGCTCGTGCGTGGCCCCGAGATCACTCGCGCCTAGGGTTCGCGAGTTAGGGCCAAAGTCGTGCCAAGTCCGCACCAAGTCATGACCGAGTACAAAGGGTAATTTTCCTAAGTCTTGTGGCACCTAAGTGTGTCCGTTATTCAGCCATAGGCAAGGAGCTGTTCGACGAGCCACTCGACCTTAAAAGTTTTAGGCTCGAGCTCGAGCGGCTCGAGCTCGACTCGAGTTCAAGTTCAGTCAAACTCGAGTTCGACTCGAGCGTTGACGCGAGCCGCTCGACTCGTTTTACAGCCTTAGTCCTGCCCCACACTCCTGGGTATTGTTTT